TGGGGGTGGGACCTCGGCCTGGGAACCTGCTGCTTCCAGAGCCCCCGGTTCTCGAACCCTGCGGGATTCTTGGATTTTTTTCTGTCAGTTCATCCCACTGACCACAAGATGGAGCCCTCTTTCTGGGAAATCTTCGGTTTGCCAACCAGGCGCCAGTCCATTTTCTCTCTAGTCCTGAAAGGATATATTTGAATTCGACAATCTTCACTGCATCTCATTAAGCCAGAATTAATGGGTCTAGCCATTTAATGTGTCTCTTTTCCCTTCTTTAGAAACCGTATTGGGTTGGGATGTGACATCTCCTGTTTGTACTCCTCAAAGGCTACAATGCAGAGTCGGCATTTATTATAATCCTCATTATTAATATCGATAACAACAACTCTTCACTTAACGCTTCCCATTTGTAAAGTACGTTTCACCAATTCGACTCAGAATAACTCTAGGAAATGGGTATTACTGTTCTCATTCATACGAGAAAACTGAGGCTCAGAACACGAGGTCAAGGTCACAAAGCTAAAGTTGGCAGACCAGATCCTGAACCCTTCCCATTGTGCTCGGATGAGAGGAGCAGGCAGAAGAGCATAGAGACCAGCGGGGGACCCAAAGTACAGCCTGACGCAGGAAACTTCTCAGGATAACCTCTGGAAGACTTCTTAAGCAAGCAGGAAAGGCAGATATCCTCTGGAGTTTCATGTTTTCACAGAGGACAGGTCAGTAGACTCGTTGGACCAGGCCAAGGGGCCTGCTGAGGTAACAGATGAGAAGTTTTCAGTGCAAAGCTGGACAGAGTCAGTAGACATTCAACAGGGAGGACAGATTTGGTTAGTTTTAATTTTATGTTCCAGGGAAATGAACTGCTATGGCCATGGGAAAAACAAAGCTTAATTCTGCCTTGTTCTAAACATGTAAACTCCCATCTCCCGAGAAAATCTTTTTCTACCAGCAAGGGATGTCTTACAGGTGAGGAGATCTGATGATGATAATTTCCAGGATCACGATCTCACTCATTACAGACTTGCTGCCAGATTCTGGCAATCAGTCAGGAAACCAAATGTCAGGGCCCCAGGGCCCCACTGTCTCTGGGGGCTTCGATTCCAGAGGAAAGGGCTCCAAGTGTAGGTTCAAGCACCTGGGCGAGAGAGGCTGTTTTCAGGACCAAAGTAGTTAAGTGGAAAGCTTCGTAAATTAGTATGTGGCTTATTTCATGGCTCCAATGTACATGTTAGCAATTCAGTATGTCTTTTTATCATTTTCTGTGCCTCGGCTTCTCTGTGTGTGGAATGGTAAGAGTGGTACCCAGCTCACAGGACTGTTACATGGATCAAAAGAGTTTTATGTACAAAGCATTAGAACCATGCCCAGCACAGAGTAAGCACTATGTGTTTCTTAAATAATGTTAAATAAATAAATGGATCTGAGCACATCCATTTATATACTTTACAGGTGAAATCTTATTTTTTTTTTCAGGATTCCAAGTCATTTAAATATCATGTAATTTGTACACTTGCGGGTACAAAAAAATATGCTGCAGGAAGATTACAGTATTTCCTTATGACAAAATTTGAAAGCCCACTGAAAATGCATAAATTTGACTAGAATGGTCCTATGGTCTTTTGCATTTTATAAACAAATAGGTTAAAAGTTCTTTAGATCCACCATGTTTTTCTTTCCATTATTACTGGCATTGGCCCATATGCCTATCCGGCAAGAATAATGCAGTGATCAGATTTTTCTTTCTCCTTTTTTTAAAAAAAGTTTTCCTCCCCCCCTCCCCCACCTAATTTCTTTTCTGAGTTTGGAAATGAGGGGTCATTGCAGAGGGTGCCCTGGGCATCTTCCCCACTCTGAAGATTTCCTCAGTCTGAGTTTCTAGGTGAGTAGGAGTTTCCTCAGCTCAAACCCCATGTTCAAGTATCAATTTCAAGCATTAAAAAGAGAGAGAGAGCATTTGTGCTGAGAGATTTCATGCAACCCCAAGAAGAGAGACTGGAATGCTGAGAATGTAATAGGGAGAGGACTTGGAAGAAAAACACATGAATTGAAATACTGCTTTCCAATCTAAAAGTTGTTTTTCATGTCTCATTTTGGCATTAATTTTCTTTTAGTATCATACTATTTCCTGGAAACAGTTTTTTATTGTTTATTGTTTTTTTTTGTTTGTTTTTATTTTTGTAATAGCTATTCTTTAAGACTTTCGTTTCTCTTTCTTGCAGGCTGTTTTACAAAATAGACTTTGGGCAGAAGAGATGGAGACAAAGATGGGCCATTTCCAGCCACCATGGAACTCCCCCTCCCCCACTCCCTGCTCAGAACCTTCACTATAGCCTGTCCTCCCAGGCCCAGGAGGACATGGGGAAAGGGGATGGGACAGAAGTGGGAACACAATCCAAGCATTCAGGTGAAACCAAAACTACAGTTTTGCCCTACAGAGACAATATTTAAAAGTTTAAGTTCCTTAATACCAAAATGTGGGGCAGTTACGGTGAGAATCCCGTGGGCTTCCGTGCATTGAACCAGAGGTCTAACCAAGATCACATCATTGTTTCCAGGCAAAAATTAAAACCGAGGTCCAAATTTCTGACCTCAGGTGAATGTTTACCATAGAACCTGACTGGGGACTATTTCCCATACAGCCAACACACTCAGAGACAGTTCTTCTTTCTAGCAATCAGGCTGTCCATCTGTCTCTGTCCACCCATTCATACAGTCTTTTTATTAAGGTGCAGCACAACTGCCAAAGAAATGTGAAAAGCCAAAAGCTAAGATTGATAGAAACGAGTTACATATTTTATATTTATTGAGTTCAAAGCCAATGGTTCTGTTGTAAATTCATCTTCACTGATTTTTTTTAAATGACTATTTAAAATAATCTCTTTTCCATAGAGGTGGTATGGTACAGTCCCTGAGTTTTATAGCTGAGAATCTCAGGTCTAGCTACTTAACTTTTCCAAGCCTTGGTTCCTTATCTATAAACAGGGACAATTATATAACTCTCAAGGATACCTTTTTTTTATCTGAGATCATGTCAATGTCTGGCAATAAGTGTGGCTCTTTTGAACTCTTTTTTGTTTCACTTCAATAAAGATATTTTTATACTTAGCTATAAAAGGGGATGAGATCTCGCTGTGTGCGACAAGACGGGTGAACCTGGAAGATAATATGCTAGTGAAATAAGTCAGACAGAAAGACAAAAACCATGTGATTTCACTTACATGTGGAATCAAAAACAAAACAAAAAGCAGAAACAAATCCATAAATATAGAGAACTGATGGCTGCCAGAGGGGAAAGGGGATGGGCAGAATGGGTAAAGGGGAGTGGGAGATACAGGCTTCCAGTTATGGATTAAAAGGCTAAGCATATGGGCGCCTGGGTGGCTCAGTAGGTTAAGCATCTGCCTTCAGCTCAGGTCATGATCCCAGGGTCCTGGGATCAAGCTCTACATCGGGCTCCCTGCTCAGCTGAGAGTCTGCCTCTCCCTCCCTCTCCATCTGCTTCACCCCCACTCCCACCACCCCAACTCCCCTCACCAACTCATGCTCTCTCTCAAATAAATAAAATCTTTTAAAAAAAGGCACAGCACAGGGACTACTGTTGATGGTACTTTGTGTTGTGTGGGGACAGACGACAGCTACACCTGTGGCGAGCATAGCTCAATGTAGAGATAGACCTGTTGAATCACGCTGTACACTTGAAACTAAAGTAATATTGTGTCAACTATACTTCAATTTTAGAAAACTTCAACGTTTTTAAACCCACATTTAATTTTCAGAAGCCATGATTTAAACTTTTCTCTACACTTGGGTGCCCTATCCATCTAGCTGCTTGACTTCGGTTAACGTCCAGAATAGACTCACGTGCATAGATCATTCACTTACAAATGAAATTGATTCAAAGAGCTTACTTATGTTGACAACTGTAACCATGTTTTTGGAATTGTGCCTGCCCCTAAAAAAACCCCTGATTTTCACAACACTGTAAAACATGTCACGTTTTTCCTTTTTTTCTTGAAGAGGGATTCAGACTCTCCTAACAGCCTCAACTAAGATCCCTTCTGTGAAAAGAGTAGCCAAGTCAGGTGGTGCCTGAATGAATCAAGGAATGACCTCAGTGAAGAACAAGTCGGATTTTATTTAAGGAGGTTCATCAAGTGTTCTTCCCTATTTACCACGAAACCCATCTCATGGCAGAAGCAGAAGCAAGGGTTGGGGGTGGGGTTCCACAACCAGAGCAAATGCGTCCAGGTGGTGGGAAGCAGCCTCGTGTCCCCCGGGGTCCTGCTGGCTAAGGTGAATGGAGTCCGCTCTGCTGTTGGCACGCCCAGGTCTCTGTCTCCTCCTGACTCGCTTTCACTGGCACCTTTTCCTGGTATCTGTCCTCCTGCCGGCGGTCAAGATTGTGGGCTCTGCCTGTCGGTTAGAATTTGACACCCTCGCTCCTTATTCTATGGTGACATAATTCTCAATTTTTTCAGGCAACTCTGTGTCCACATAAGATCCGCTCCTGCCTGCCAAGCTTGATCTCAGAGTGAAAAAACACACTCTCAGTTGTGAAGAAACCTGAAGGCCTAGGAGATTTTGTATAATTTATAGAGCCCCCCAAATCACATGTATAAGCCCATATTCTAAAATGTGGTTCTCTTTAGTTTATAATGGAATCAGAAAGTTTCTCTGCTTTGTATTGAAGTGTAGGGTTTTTTTCCCCCTCTCATAAAAGGTGTGTTTGTCACATGCAGCTACCAGATAGCCAAAGCTCGGAGATGTCTAGAATGACACTGCATTTAATTGTGCCTGTGCATGTGTGCATGTGTGTGTGCGTGTGTGTGTTGTTCAGGTGGCTTAATATGAAGCCAAGATGTCTGGTCCTATATTAATCTTCAGGAGTGATGATTTTAATTTTGTAATGCAGAAATAAAGCCAAATAAACAGGCAGAAAGTAAACCCATAACAATGGCTTTAACTTAACTAATCCACTCCATCTTTGACAGCAATTTGAGATAAAAAATGGTCCAGAGGACAAAGTACATAATTAATGATGAGAAAAATGATTCCTTCAAGTCCCATAAAAAAGAGTTCTCCCTGCCGTAATCATTTGTCCCGAGTTTTATTCACGCAAAAGCGATGGTTACTTCTTGCTTCTGTCCCCTTCATTCCAGTACTGCTCCGTCTGCATTTCGGTGAGTCGGGAAAGTGTGCGCTGAAATGCAAAGATTTCCTCTTCTCCAGTAAACATAGAGAGTCCTTCTGCTGAGTCCTGGTTACCAAAACACAAACCAAAAAACCAAAAAGAAACAAACAAAAAACAAAATCAAAAACAAACAAACCCAGCACCAATTAAAACTACCACAAATAAAAATTTACAGAACTAAGTACAGGCTTAAAACAACATTTTAGGTTTACCTTTTTAGGTTGGGATTATAAAAGGTTCTGTATTGTCACATACAATCTCTTAAATTAGACTAGAAAATCAACTACTTTAAGCCAATAACCAATAGACAGAACATATTACCGGGGAGAAAACAATAGGGAAAACATGAGAAGAATAACTGATGCTGAAACATTGCCCCAAAATCCAAATATGAAGATTTCTGCATGAAGAAAGATTTTGCAGGATGAAAATCTCCTGCAAGACCTAAAGGAAGGACAATGTCAGACAGAAAAAGAATTCTTTCTCCAAAAATGGACGCTAGAAATAAGTAACACCAACAAACAGAGGTTCGGGCAAGTTAGGAAGAGGCTGACAGCCTCCCCCAGAGCGCCCTGGGCTGGGCCACATTCCCTACAAGAGGCCCTGAGGCCAAGCCTCCGCAGAGCCTTTTCTGCACTGGCGGGCAGAGAGGTCTATGGGCCTGGAGATCCAGCCCGAGAGTCCACTTTGGGAAGGCAGAACTGTCTTGAGCTACTTAACTAGGGTTAAGTTTGGGAATCCCTCTGTGAGGCCAGCAAACAGTCTGGTGATACCAACGTGGGCTTGTGGCCAGTACATGAGAAAGAGCAACTTGTGTCTCTTTCCTTAGCAGTTTGCTAGCTTGCTTCCTCAGAGAAAACTTCTGGACCCCTTAGTCCATGCCTTCTGGGCTCACCCACCGCAAAGCCCCAGAACCCTGTGGTCACGAGCCCTCAGTTCCTCGTGTAATGTTAGCCTGCATGCAGAGCTTGCTTGGCCCTCTTTCTGAGCCCTGATCCTAGGGAGGAAACTTGAAGAACCAATGATTTAAGGAACTTTAGAAATGGAAAAGATAAGGCCCCTCGAGTATATCTTTTCAAACAGTAAAAGACATTACTTGGATAGATGTATTGCTCTTAGAGAAACCACCAGCATATGGGTTTATAAGCAACTCTTTATTTCTACACATAGGTTTATGTAGTCTTATTTGGAAAGTTCACTTTTTAAATGAGTTATAGGCCTCATTTCCCCCAGACTCCTAAGAATGCGTAACTTCTACTCAGGTCAATAAGGAACCGTTTCCTCATTCCAAATGGCCTTTCACCTCTGGGGTTGGAAGAATGGGGCTCCCCTCATTCTGGAGGTAAGTGTTTATGGACAGCTTTAAAATTTGACTAATATTTCAACTGTTGAGAAATATGCCCTGTAACGTTCAGACAGGAGGAGGAAATGTAAAATCACTTCCACTTGGCCTGGGGCGAAGTGCTCCAGAAGAAACAGGCCAGCACTGGCTCGTTCTCCACAGCGTGTCCCTAGAGCCCCGCACCACAGGTGCTCCTGAAATGTTTACAGAATGGGGCTGGCAGATGAATAATGATTTCTCTGTAAGCCAAGGGCCTTGCTAGGCACTGTCCTGGAGTAGCCAGCCCTCATGCTTGGACACTGTATCTCGCGCTCTACAAGCCCAGTAGACACGAAGAGTATCTGGAAAAGGCACGTAGTGTAGCAGAACGAGCCCAGAACCAGCCCTGGTGTCCGGCTCTGGCCTGCCCTTAGTCATCGGTGTGAGCACAGGCCCACCGGTCCTCCTCTCTGGGCTGTGTTTTCATTACATGCAAAAACAGAGCATGAAGATCCCTTCTACCCTAAGACTATATGCTTTACATTTAGTGATACTGAGAAGAAGTCTGCTCTATTGGCTTTAGGAGGAAGCAGCAAATCAATGGTTAAATATATACTGTGTTCCTTCTTCAAAATGTAGCCACGTAAAAAAAACAAAAACAATGATGCTGCTTTATAATAAAAAGAGATCATGTGATATTGCCTACCTGGCTCAGCCCCAAATCATCCATCAGTATTCTGCTTTGCTCCAACTCGCTGTCATGATGTTGATGCAAAAACAAGCTTCCTATAGGGGTCGCTGCAGAGCAGATGACGCGCACCTGGAAGAGAAAGAGGCCTGAAGGGTGGCGCTCCTTACATTTCACAAGTTGAAAGTCCTGCTGAGGATGGCCTACATCAGAGTCCCCCGGGCTACTTAAGATCCACGTTCCAGAGCCTTCTCCACGCCCAGTCCAGTAAATGAACCCTGATCCTAGGGGATGAACCTGAAAACCTGCATGTTCGC